ATTGCTCATATTGGGCATATGTAGATGAAACGGGGACCCTAAATTGAAGCAGTGGGATTTTAAAAACACTGCTTCAATTTAGGGCCCTTTAAATCCCCATGTCGTGCATACAACTGAACTTACCTGCCTCTCTGGTGGTGGGGAGGGGAGGACAAGCTGCCAGTGGGTGGAGCGGTCCCTGGGCTGCGGGGAGGACTGGTGCTTCCCTCCGTGGCAGTGGGGGCCCTGCACTCCAGGCGGCACCCACCTGCAGGCACCCAGCTTGGGTGGTCCTTGGAGGCACTGCAGCCACAGAGGGAAACACCGGGCCCCTGCACAGCTCAGGCAGGCAGGCAGGCAGGCTCCAGGGAAAAAAGGCAGAGCCTGCCTTCCCAGGCTGCTGCCTGCATGGGCTTCCTGCAGAGCCCCTGAGCTGCACAGAGCCGGGTGCTTCACTCCACGACTGTAGGGCAGCAAACTAAAACTCCTCCTTGGAGTTTTAGTTTGCTGCACTCCAAGTCATTTAAGATGCATTACGCCACTGGATTTGCTATAGCGACCAGAATTACTGCGCAATATGCCGCTGAAGCATGCGAACACCAACACCATTACAGCGGTGCAGAATCATTTAACCCACTTTAAAGTGTCGTGCACACATGCCCCTCATTTCGTCTACACACAGTCATTGTCTCTATGGAGCAGTCAGACAATAGCTAAACACATATTACTTCATATGATCTTGATGTACCCCTTGCACAAGTTGTGACTTTGCTACTATAAGAGTACACTTAGCATGTGTTTTATTGCTTGAATGCATGGTTGCTTGCATCTTTGTTGAGTATAGGCTGTAATTAATTGATGATTTGTCTCATCAATTCCAGCATTAAGTTATAGGATACCACCAGGGGTGTAGGGTTGCAGGGGGGCTTATGTTTTTATTGTAGGACGTTGCCAAGCGGGATTTGGGGGGCTTTTTCAAAGATATGGTCCATTTCTCCACTGGAGTGTCCCCGTTATAAAAAAAGGTGAATTTTAGGCTGGCCAGGTCAGTATCACAAGCATCCTCTGCAAAGCAGATGCAGTGGTATATCTGGGGGCCTGACTGTAGACATCTGGGTTAATTATGAAATGATGGTGCTCATTGACCAATCTATATTCTCAGCAGTCTCATCACACCAAGTCTTCATGGTTCCAGACTGGTAAACCCAGTGAGTTTAAACAAACTTTAGAGAGAGCATTCTAGACATCCTCATGGAAGTTTTATCAGTAATATTTAGCTGTCTCTCCACTGCTTTACATAATCTATTGTTTTACAGTATCATTTGTTGACATGTAGCTAAGAGGCTACTTGTCTTGAGGTCTTTTAGGAGGTTTAATAGAGATGTTGAAGTTTGTGTGAGTGAGACAATGGCCTTTCCATCACTCAAGTCCTCGTATGGACTTAATGATCCTGACACAATTAATATCTCTTTACCTGACAAGGAGGTGATTAATCAGATCCCATTGTTTGAGAAAGGGTGCATCTAAATTTGGGGGACAGTGGTGCAGGGTGGATTGAGAAGTAAGAGGTGGTGTTTGTAATACGATTGTATCTCATATACTTCCTGAGGAAGAGTAGGCTACTGCTGTTAGCCAATAATAACCAATAGGTTTGATAGTCTGATCCAGAGCAGGCATTGAAATAACCCAGGATAGTATGCAATTAAACATAAAACCCATTAAAATTGTGTCGGTGTCAATAAAACTCTATACAAGCACAAACATTGGGCTTTGCTTCAGGAAACTATCAGATATTAATTCCAGATCTTTGCATGCACATAAATATTTGCTGAAATCATGTATTAAGCAAGTGGCCAAATCTGGAAGAAAAACCACATGGAATTACAGGCGCATTAGAATCATAGAGATGGATTCAGCCTCAGGCTTTTTGACTGTCTGTACTTAGCCATAAAGTAATTAGTTCTGATCAATATTGTTATGTTGTTCAAATATATTTTCAATGAAAAATTATTTTTCAACAAATACAAAAATTTTCACAGCATGTACTCATTTTGACCAAAATATTCTGGTTCTTAATTTGTAAAATTTCAGGTTTAAGCGAAGTTATCAGTATTTGAAAATTGCAATTCTGAAATAAAGTTCTTAAAACTTGTTCTATTATTATTATTATTATTATTATTATTCCCTTAATATTGAAAAATTAGGTCCTAATGTCCTAAACATCCAGATGTTTAGGTCCTAACATCAGTGAACTTTAATTTACAATTAGTTCTAGTAGAGGTACTTGCTTTTGAAGCTAAATACACAGTGTCTCGTGTAACACAGCTAGCAACTGTGGGCACCTATACACATGAGGGAGCTCTGCTCTGTTACGTGCTAATGCATGTGTCAGAGCAGACTTGATTAAATAAGTCTGCTGTGAGTCTGCTGGACTGTACTAATTAGTGTGCTCCAGCAGCCTCCGTGTCACGTATTCAGTGTCTCCGCATATCAAAATGGCGTTGGGAGTGCTTTAACTGAAGCTTGTCGAACGAGCTTTAGTTAAAGCGCTATACCACCGGCTCTCAGAGCCGCTCTAATTAAAGCACTCCCACCCCAGAGCATGTGCCCTGTGGTATCCTTTTCCACACACACACACACACACACACACACACACACAAATCTAGAAGGAAACTTAATCCAAAAGAACATGGGATATATACAAAAATTATCTTAGGATGTGGAAGTTATACATGCAACTCTCAAAATTGTTAAGGGACTCATGATTGAATTCCTCATAAACTGTTCACAATGTTGCTGCTGCAATTTTCTAAAATGTTATCTCCGCATATAGAATCCAGAATACAGCTTCATTTTTCCCTCTCTTGGCATGAAATACTAGCCATATGGTCACTGAATATCTGCTTTGACCTTGATCTCAAAATATGAGCTTTTAGGACAACCGAAG